TGACTCACACCCAGTCACAGGCAGAGAAGGTGGAGCAGAGATAGAATTCTGGATTGCTAGACTGGGCTGGGCTTAGCCTGCTTAACTGCACAAAGAGACATACAGGTGCAGTGAACTCTCACCCAGACCTTGCCCACCGGTGAACTACACCCTGTGAATGTCAGCTCATCGATCAGATTAGGTGCTTCTCTTCCTTTTGGATGGCAAGAGCATGGAGTGGAAGCTCTCTTCCCAGCATAGGCCTAGACGTGGAAATATTGGAGGAAGAGCCTTCCTCTATGAATCAAAATGGAGAGTTCAGAAGGGCTGGGTTGGCTATAGAATTTAGTAAAAGAGCCTCAATGCTTTGACGGTCTCGTTTCTGGCATCACTGAATAGCTAAGGGCTGGAAAGAATCATGGAAGAGAATCGTACAACGGTGTTTGTAGTTCTACAAGCAGGCTAAGAGATTTTTTATGATTAAAAGTTTTAAAATTGTAGTAAAATACATATAAAATTTGCAATCTTAACCATTTTTAAGTGTACAGCTCAGTGATATTAAGTACATTCACATTGCTGGGTTACCATGACCACCATTCATCTCCAGAACTTTTCCATCTTCTCAAATTGACACTGTGTACCAATGAAACAATAACTCCCTCCTACCTCCAGATCCTGACAACCACCATTCTACTTCCTGTCTCTATGCATTTGACTATTCTAAGTACCACATATAAGAAGAATCTTACTTATCCTTTAGTGACTAGCTTCTTTCACTTTTAGCATAATGTCTTTAAGGCTGATTCACATTGTATCATGTGTCAGAATTTCCTTCTTTTTTAAGCTTGGCTAATAATTCCACTGTATGTATATAACTGTTCTCTATGGGAACTTGAGCCAGACCCTCAACGTGACAGCTGGTATCCGTTGTACCAGTAGTTCTGGGAATGGCCTAAAAATGCACAGAGAGTCCTAGCATCTTCCTGAGCATAGAGCTGGGGAGTGGAAGAAGATGTGGGATACATTCTTCACCTCAGCTGAGAAGCACAGATAGGGCAATCAAGGAGATACAGGAGTGCCACAATTTCCATGGCTCCTCTCTCAGGATCCATCCCATTGGAAGCCTGCTTGTGGATGGTACCTCTAACCTCTGGCTTGCTCCTAAAAGTGCCTTTTGTGCCACTGGGATCCATGAGCTTCTGTCTGTAACACTCATGAAAGAGACAGTTCTGCTATCAGGATTGTGTTCTTGAGAAGATTTGTACCATACAGCAATCTGAGAGAGAGAAAATGTTGAACCTTAATGTCTTTGGACTTTAATTGACCCAGATCAAAGGATTTCCTGTTTGGAATTCAACCTCTCTTTGGAAATGGAATCATTGATGTAGGTTTAGGTTAAAATTTGGGCGTTTATGTGTTGCTGGCTTTGTGTTATTTAGAGTGTTTTAGACTTTTGTCTGGTGTGCATTGCAAGGTCTCTGGTGAGTGATGTTGAGTATTGAATGGAATCTCATTTGGAATGGAAAACAGAAAAAGCAATGACTTTTGGCCTATAGTGTATATGGCCTTAAAGTTATCTTAACATTCTGTTTTGACCTGCTTCAGAGTCTTCTGGGGCAGTAGCTGAGCTGCCCACTTCTCAGCCCCCAGAAGCAGCCACCAGGACGGGTGTGGGGAGCACAGGCCCAGCTCCTCTAGGCAGAGGAGTCACCTTCCCTGACAGGCTGCGCTGCATGACTGGCGTCAGGCGTGGTTGCTAAACCCAACTCCTCCAGAGATGCCAGCTAGCATCCCCTTATTCAGCTTTCTGAGGCACCCTATTACTCTGTGGAGCACTTGGCACTTGACCAACCCCGTGACAAAGTGGTTTTGGGTCCTCATTTGGATCTCTGTGTCAATTCTTCACTGATTGTAGTGAGGGTGAGAGGAGGGGTGGGGTGAGTAGATGGTTGTAGTTGTCGACGTCTTGAATTTATTTTGCACATAAAGGGTTGGCAAGCCTATGTTAATCCTTAAAATTAAAAAAAAATTTTTTTTTCAAACTGACCCATGGACTCATTGTCTGGAATCCACTACCTTAAAGACCACACAGAACTACATGATCACTTTATAAATGAGGAATCCAAAGCCTGAAGAGTTTACTTGCCTGTGGTCACAGACAGTGACCAAGCTGTGCCAGCTCTTTCCTCCAAACTATTTAGAAGTCCCATCTGAGATGTAGAACCCCTTGTGCATTCACCCACTAGGATGCACAGCGCCATGATATTTGCTCCAGGACACACAGTGGTCTGGTGGAAGGTGGGAGAGACCTCTGGTCCTGGGCTGCCATGACTATCATGTCCACGACATGGGAGGCTGAGATGGGAAAATAGGGTAAATCCAGCTTCCCTCCTTTAAAGCCACAAAACGGTGCAGCTGAAGATAATACCTGGTCCTATCTATACCACAGACATATTGGGAGGACCAAATTTAAGATAACGTATGCGTGAATGCTTGGAAAATTTTGATGTGCGATCTGAAAGCAATGTTAGTGTCTGGCTGGTAAGACCTATTTGTGTGAGCACTTGTAGAATCAGCAGCATTTTACAAACGTCCTTCAAGCACCAGATTTTAAAATCAGCCTTTGTATCTCCATCTAGTGAAGACCCATCCATGAGATACTTGAAAACATTCCTTTTCATTGATTTTTGAGTACTGAATTCAGCTGCCACTAATGTTTCCAATTATGTAATGAAGTGTGCCATTGTCACACAGACATTTTTCAAATTTCAGATAGAGAAACGTCTTCCTTAAGCTTTCCCTTTCTATAGCCCTTCTTAAAGATTTTGCTATCTTTTCATGTCATCTTCTAACTCCTAAGTAATTTTTTAAATGAGTTTTCAGAATCTTTTATTATACTGATAAGGTTCAATAATTCAGTTATCATTTTATCTGTTTGAGCCTGGTATTGGAAAGATAAGACATCTAGTATAATTTACAAGGAGGAAAATGTAGGAAAAGGAGAAATTTTAAACATATTAAATAGCAAGAAACAAAGCAACCTTTTATAACTTGCTTTTCTTGCTCTAGAACATTCTTTCTAAGATTTAGCCTGAAGTGAGGACCTATCTCTTCTCTAGTTTGCTTTGTCGTCTCTAAAACGTGATTTGATTCTATTACGTGTTTCCTATCGGTACCTTTGTTTCTGATGTCAGAATTTGACTTTCAGAACCACTGTTGAGTTGAGTGCCAGTAACAAGTGCTTGTCTCCTCGGAAGGGAAGTGTCGTAGTCCATTCAGACTGCTGTAATGAAATACTGCATGGCTTATGAAAAATAGAAGTTTATTTCTCACTGTTCTGGAGCTGGAAGTCAAAGATCAGGGTGCCTGTGTGGTTGGGCGAGGGCTCTCTTCTGGGTCGCAGACTTCTCCCTGTGTCCTCACATGGTAGAAGGCCCGAGGGAGCTCTGTGGGGTCTCTTATATGGGCACTAATCCCATTCATGAGGCCTCTACCCTCATGACCTAAGCACCTCCCAAAGGCCCCACCTCCTAATACCATCCATCACATTGGGCGTTAGGTTTCAATATATAAATTTGAGGGGGACACAACATTCAGTCTGTAGCAGGATGTGTTGAAAACCAGCTGGTAACCTGCGAATAAAAATGTGATCTGCCCAGGAGAAAAGGTATCACTGTCATAAAGCAAAACAAACGTTACAAATACATCTTCTTGTCCATTTCTAGAGTGCCCCCCATGCCTTCATTTATTCAATAAATGTTTATTAAATGCATGTCATAATGTACCAGACATTGCTCTAGACACGGGATACATCAGAGAACAAAACAGGAAGAAAAAAAAGGCCAAGATCTCTGCCCTCCTTGAGCTTACGTTCCAGTGCCGGTGGACAGCTTGTGTAACAAATACCCTAGTTGTCCTGTGGGAAAGGAGGTGGTGGGCATCAGGGAAAGGACGAAGCAGGGCTGGGGAGCAGAAGTGTGTGTGCAATGGGGTGGGATGTGAGGTCAGGGGGGACTGAGATCTCTAAACTGCCCAAGGTGTGCGGTCCTGGCCTGGTGGTCCCTCCCAAGGCTGATCAATGAACGACCACCTAACCCTGGCACCCCCTCACCTTCCCCTTTTCTTTTCTTTCCTCTTTCTGCCTTGGTTCCTTGCATCTTCCCCTATATTTCCCTGTCTTTCTAGGCTCTGTGTCTCTTATTCTAACATTGCACTGCTTTCCCTCTCCATTTTCTTTCTTGTATCTGTACCCCATCTTTAGTCTTTTTAGTGTCTTTATTATTATGTTTGCCATCATCTATGACCCTCTCTCATTCTCCTCCTCTTTCCTTTGAATTTCTCCTTCTTTCCCTCTTTTCTCCACCCTCTTTCCAACCTATCACACTGGAAAGAAGGAAAATACCACCTTAACGACCTGAGTATGTGATTGGAGTGAAAGGGCCACGTGGGCCACAGGGACGTTGGGAAAACCAAGCCTTATCTCCTACCTTGTTTCACAATAACGTGAAATATAGTCTAACTTTTGAAGTATGATTGTTTTTCTTTTCTTTTTTTTTAAATTTATTTATTTATTTTTGGCTGTGTTGGGTCCCTGCCGCTGCTTGCGGGCTCTCTCTAGTTGTGGTGAGCCGGGGCCACTCTTCGTTGTGGTGTGCGGGCTTCTCATTGCAGTGGCCTCTCTCGTTGCAGAGCACGAGCTCTAGGCACGTGGGCTTCAGTAGTTGTGGTGCACAGGCCTAGCTGCTCCGCGGCATGTGGGATCCTCCCGGACCAGGGCTCGAACCCGTGTCCCCTGCATTGGCAGGTGGACTCCCAACCACTGCGCCACCAGGGAAACCCAAGTATGATTGTTTTTCGTAGAATTGTTACTTAATGCAAAGCAAGAAGACCATGGTGGGTGTAGTTCCCAAGAGTTTATTCTGCAATAAAACAGGCTTTGAATCCAGATAAGTAAGCAAATATTGATAGTACACATTCAAGTTTTTTTTACAGAGCCCAGAATTCTTTTTTCTCCACACAAGGTGGCAGTGGAGTCAAAGAAAAACATTCAAAGCAGCTTTGGTGAGTTTTCCCACAAAGCTGGATGAGGATGGAGACAGAGCAAAATCTGTATAAAGAGAATTAAATTACAACAGAGGTGTGATATGACACTAACACGTCACATTCTCGTTTTGGAAAAATGTGTTTGGGGCTGTGTCTCTTTACAGAGTAAGTAAAGCATTAGAGATCTAACTCCTGATAATACATGATGTAACTTTTTGTTGGCAAAGTGAAGATTTTAATTTGAGTTTGTCCTTAAAAATAGCTACTAGGTTTGTTAATATATATGTATATTTCTGAGTCTTTTTTCTGCCACTCAATATCAGTTAGGTCTCAGAGGACATTTACTGTGAAAACTGAAAACCCTGAGGAAATCAGCTCTTCAGTGGTTTTCAAATATTTTAGTAAGAAATTTAAGAGTAATATACTCAAGATTCTCAAAATAACAATAATAAATATACAGAGGGGAGATAAAACAAATGTGTTAAACTGTTAGCAATTGGTGAACCTAGGTGGAAGGTATATGGTGTTCATGGTATTGCCCTTGTAACTGTTCCAGAGCTTTAAATTTTTTCAAAATAAAAAGTAGAAAATGGAAAAAAAGCTAAAAAATTCTTATTTGTGTGGGTGAAGAACTGGAAACACACTGAATGTTCAATGGTTGGGAAATAGTTAAGACATCTTAAAACATTTGTTCAGTGGAATATATATGTCCATTATATGATGATGACATGTGAAAATGCTTATGAATCAATGGTGAATGAAAATGGCAGGCTATAAAACTTTATACGGAGTAGGATCTCATTATAGTCGGAAAAAACACACCTTCCAAGAACTAAAAATAAAATCTACCAAGATGTTAATCTCTATCTACGTACTTGTATTGTGGATGATATTTATTTTCATTGTGTTTTTATGTGTTTGTATTTTCCCCAAGTTTTTATTATGAAATTCTTCAAACATTCAGAAAATTTGAAAGACTAATACAATGAACATCCACGTGCCCTCTACTTAGACTCAACAGTTGTTAGTTTTCTCATATCTACCCTATCTATATCTATCTATATGTATCTATGTATCTGTCTATCTACATTTGGAGTTGGCAAACTAAGGCCAAGGCCAAATCTTGCTTATCACCTGTCTTTGTACAACACTGATAAATTAAAGAAGGGTTTTTACATTTTTAAGCAGCAACATTTTAACTAGTTATACAGTTATCTACAAAATATCCTTGATTTTGTCTTTTGGTCTATAAAGCCTAAAACTGTTACTGTCTGGCCCTTTACAGAAATATTTTGCCAACCCTGGATCTACACACACACACACACACACAGACACAGACACAGACACATATACAGTTTTTGCTGAATCATTTGAAAAGCAAGTTGCAGACATTATAACATTTCTCCTTCAATTACTTCATTAATGCATCTCCTAAAAATAATACTCTTACTTAAACATAATACTGTTATCTCACCAAAAAAATGAAGAGTTATTTCATAATACCATAAAATACCCACCCATATGCAAATTTGTGTGACTGTGTTTGCAAACTTTACAAAATGAAAATGCATAACTTTATAACAATAAAAAAATTTAAAAACATCATATGTTACAGTCAACGTGAATTTTTACCATCAATTTTATTATACAAGGAATTTAGGAAAATTGCTCTATGCAGCTACTCCCCTGGGCACTTTAGGGTCAAAATTTAATGTGTTTGCAGGTCAAACAGCTCATATTCTATAACGCATTCAGTGTTGGTGGTCATATTATTGTTTCTGTAGTTGTAGGCAGGAAAAGGTATGATGCTGTGTAATTTTTTCTTTGCATTTAAAAATATCTCTAATAATTTCTGAAGCTGGGTGATTGGTATATGGGAGTTTGCTGTACTATTTCTTCTACCATTTTGTGTATGGTTAAAAATTTCCGTAATAAAAAATGTATGTATATACAAATCACTACAGTAATAGCCTTGACTTGTGACCTGAATCTGCTAAGGCAAAGTTGCTTTTAAAATATGTCAGAATGCTAAAACTTAGATGTGAAAATTGTGTGTGTGTTTGTATGAACCTTTTATTTTAGAATAGGAAACCTGGTAGTTATGGCAAGCAAAACATAGAAAGATTGGCTTAAAATTTTGAATGGATTTTGAGAAAAGGCTACTTTATCCTTTGGGAGCCTTGTTTTTGTAAACATTTCATTTTTTGTGGGATGTGAATCATGTGTTGGAATCACCTGATTTAGCTGTGGTATAACTAAGTCTGGAGGGTTTGGGGGACACTCTGTTTTTAAACTTCCCCACCACCAATCATGATTATGGTTACATGAGATTTGTGTCTTAAAAAAAGAGATCTGTGTTCCAAAGCTCTGGAATTATTTAAACCATGTACTTTGTAAGCTCATCTTTGTTCTGTTTGAGCCATAATGTTATGTCTACTTTTACCACAATCATGTGTATAAGGAACTGTCAGGTCAGGTCCTCTCCCATCATGCAACAGTGTAGAATGTGCTTTACAAAGTCAATTGAAAGCTCTCTTCTCCTTGCTTTATGAAGAGGTCAAAGATAAATATTCTAGTGCATTTTTAATAAATGGAGATAATCACATTGTGTTTTTTAGTAAGGAAAAAGTATTAATAAAAATTTGGAAAAGAGTTACAGTGGGCCCTTGAAAACCTTTGTGGTTAAAAAATGTGGTGCTATTATATTTTTGCAAATGTAAAACATACAGATTTTTAATGTGCTCAGTGAGATACAGAAAGTTATTAATTATGGAGTGTTAAATTCACAGCAGCCAGATGTGCTTGAATTTGCATAATAAATATTCATTCTTTTGGAAAGAAATTGTCACAGAACATTTTCTTCCCATTGAGTAGGAAATGTACATGTATTACCCCTTCCCCTTTGCATGTTCTCCTTATTACAGGATAATCTACTTTCTGTCACTTCTTTATCATATTAATATAAAATCTATTTATGTATATTTGGCTTCATGTGGGTTCATAAGGCAACTTTTCCTCTGTTAATGTCATTTTTCCAACAGATGGCTTCTTTCCTTCATCTTTTCATCATATATTTATTTGTCACCTACTACAGTTGATTCTTATTACTCACAGTATTATTATTTTCTACAGTCACCAGGAACACTGAACTACCAATACTAAAGCATTACTCTTAGGGAAAATACAGAATTAGGGTCCTAACAGTCTCTGCTCACATTTCTGTAAATTGGTCAACACATAAACTTGTTTTATGTATGTTTTTGTTTAAGGAGACTTTATTTAATATATAGTTGACTTATTAACATTGAACTCACAGCCAACAGCACTAAAACTCATGCCTGAAGGAAGCTTATCTGATACACATACTTTCTCAGTAAGGCACATCACAGCCTTCTTTCACTTAGGAATACTGGACAGCACTTCAGCACTACGCTTGGGGGTCATTTTAAACAGTGAAATCATCAATAAAAAGCACAAAGTTGTGAAAAATGTGGCACTAAATAGACCACGGAAAGGACATAGTTTGTATTAGGAGAGCTGAAATAAGAAGGCATAGCCTTCTTGAACTGCTCTGAGGAAAGCATGTAATACTGTGCTTGGCAAGTAGTAGGTTCTCAGGTACGTAGGGTTGGTGCAGGGATGGGTAGCTTTACAGAGAAGGTAACTTTTTTTTTTTTTTTAATTTATTGGCTGCGTTGGGTCATCGTTGCTGCATGTGGGCTTTCTCCAGCTGCGCCAGTGGGGGCTACTCTTCATTGCGGTGCGTGGGCTTCTCACTGCAGTGGCTTCTCCTGCTGCATAGCACGGGCTCTAGGCTTATGGGCTTCAGTAGTTGCGGCACGCGGGCTTCAGTGTTGTGGCTTGCGGGCTCTAGAGCACAGGCTCAGTAATTGTGGCTCACGGGCTCTAGAAAGCAGGCTCAGTAGTTGTGGAGCACGGGCTTAGTTGTTCCGTGGCATGTGGGACCTTTCCGGACCAGGGCTCGAACCCATGTCCCCTGCATTGGCAGGAGAAGGTGACTTTTGAGCTGAGCCTTGAAGTGTGAGAGAGGTGTCCACGGTGAACTGCTGGTGGGGTGTGTGTGTGTATATACTGGGCTTCTAAGCCCTTTGTGGTTTTGTACTTTTATGCCCCCTTCTAGTCAAGCCTGGTGCTGGGAACATAATAGTTACTCAGTTAATGAATGTCGACAGGTTAGTTGGGTGAGTGAGTAAAAGGCGAAGGGTCCCTTTATGATCTCTTTGGTATCTGCTTCTTTGCTAAGCCACCTATTTTCATAACAACACATATCTTTGGCACGTTATACACCAATCTTTGGAGATTTAGTCTGTAGTAATTGAACAAGAGATGGTACATACTTCAGCTAAGAGTTGTATACTTCCAAATTGATTTTGAGTAAGAATGTGGCTGGAAAATTGAAGACAGGAAGAAAGAAAATAAGAAAATGTGTGTGTATGTGTGTGTGTGTGTGTGTGTGTGTGTAGGTTGGTGTGTGTGTCTGTGGGTGGGTGTGGGAGAGAGAAAAGTGACATGCATCAATGTGGGTGAGTCTTAACAGTGTGCTATTAAGTGAAATAGTAATTTTCCAAAGAATATATGCAAATATGTCATCTAGAGAAACAGGGTAGCACCATAATCAAGGGATCAAAGCTAAAGTCACTAATGAGGGGCCTTTGGATGTGATTTACATAGCACATAGCATCACTTCTGTGGTATTCCTGCCAAAAAAGTGTATCCTGAATGCAATAGAAAGGAAACATCAGGAGAACCCAAATTGAGTGATGTTAACAAGATACCAGACAAATATTAAATGTCATGAAGAGTAAAGAATTGTGGAGGAAATGTTTGAGGTTAAAGAAGACTAGAGACACACAACTGAATGTCATGTGCAAATCTGAATCAGATTTTTGTACTTGAAAAAACTGCTGTAAATGCTGTTATAGTAAGTCCCCTACATATGATCGAGTACCATTCTGAGAGTGCGTTCGCAAGTCCAATTTGTTTATAAGTCCAATAAAGTTAGTCTAGGTACCCAATTTTTACAGATAATGCCAGACACTTGAAGTAAGTTACATGATTGGACATGAAAATGCACATTTACATCTTTGAACGTTCGCAAGTTGAAGGTTCACATGTGGGGGACTTACTGTATTGGGATAGTTAAAAATGGACTGTTGCTAAAGTATAAGCATAGTATCAATGTTAAATTTCCTCATTTGTGGTTATGTAAGAGATTTTCCTTATTCTTAGGAAATACACACTGATGTGTTAGGGCAGTGATCCCCAACCTTTTTGACACCAGAGACCGGTTTCATGGAAGACAATTTTTCCATGGATCAGGCAGGGGTGTGTGGGGGGAGATGGTTTCGGGATGATTCAAGCACATTACATTTATTGTGCACTTTATTTCTATTATTATTACATTGTAATATATAATGAAATAATTATACAACTCACCATAATGCAGAATCAGTGGGAGCCCTGAGCTTGTTTTCACTTGCCACTCACTAATAGCGTTTTGATATGAGTCTGCAAGCAATTGATTTATCATGGCCTCTGTGCAGTTCAACCTCTCTGCTAATGATAATCTGTATTTGCAACCACTCCCCAGCGCTAACATCACCCCTCAGCTCCACCGCAGATCATCAGGCATCAGATTCTCATAAGGAGTGCGCAACCTAGATCCCTCACATGCGCAGTTCACAGTAGGGTTCGTGCTCCTATGAGAATCTAATGCCGCTGCTGATCTGACAGGAGGCGGAGCTCAGGTGGTAATGCAAGCGATGGGGAGCAGCTGTAAATACAGATGAAGCTTCGTTCACTTGCCTGCAACTCACCTTCTGCTGTGCAGCCCGGTTCCTAACAGGCCACAGACTGGTATTGGTCCATGGTCCAGGGGTTGGGGACCCCTGTGTTAGGGGCTAAAGAAGGAAGATGTATGCAACTTATTTTCAAATGAGTTGGAGAATAATAACTCTCTCTCTACAAACAAACAAATACATAAGTAAAATATAAATAATATATATCAGTAAGGCTCTATGGGAGTTATGTACTATCCTTGAAACTTTTTTGTAACTTTGAACTTATTTCAAAATAAAAAGTAAAAAGAAATCTATAAAGTAAGGCTAAAACAAAGAAAGAAGTAGATAAAAGCACCATACCTTTCATAAACTTAAAAAACTAGAGTAAGACATTTTTTAGAACTACATGTAGAAACAATAAAACTGTATTAAAATAAAGGAAGGAATGATGGCCAGGATTCGGCATGGTGGATACCCTGTGTGGGGGAGCCAGGGCTTACGATAGAAGGCTACCAAATGTTTTGCTGTAGGATATTGTGAGATCCCCCTTTTTGTTTCAATAGTTGTTAGATTCATTGGTGCTTAATACATTATTAAAAACAAGAAATTAGAAAAAACATGAACCAAATAAAAGAGGGCCATGCATGGAAACTGCTGAGTGTTATGAAATATACAATATGATTAATCTATTGTTTTCATCTGAGGTCAGTTTAGAAAAAAATAGAAAGACAGGAAGTGAGAGAAGGAGGGAGGAGGGCAGAGGGAAAGAGAGAGAAATGGAGAAATCAAGGAGCAGGAAAAGAAAGGGACATCAGGTCTTTTGAAGGAAAAGAAAAAAATAAAATAAGTCTGAAGAAAATAAACTGAAAAAACGAGGGAGGAAAGACTGAGCGTATTTCTGAGAGAAGCGAAGAACAGATTGGAAGAAGTCGAAAGAATGAGAAATGGGAATGCTGAGGCAGAAGAAAAGCCTACATGGTATTTCTGAACCACAAAAGGGACACTCTGTCTCCACAGAGGAGTGTCAGCCAAAGGGCCAGATTCCAGGAAAGGGTGATGTGGTTAAACAACACACCAAGGTTTGGTCTAACTGAAAGCTGACACTCAGCCAGCTGGGCTTTTCCAAAAACTTGGAGAGTTGTGGCCACTTCTGGCTTCTTCAATACTCCAAGCTATCAATTAGGAGGAACTGCTGGATTAACCTGTGGCCATAATCACCTATGCTGGGGGCTTATGCCCAGATGCTTGTTGTGGGTAATTGAAGGCACTCCTCTGGGAGCTGCCATCTTGTTTCAACCTCCGGTGCCCAATGTGGGAGTAGTGCATGCTGGGAGCACGCAAGGGAAACTGGGAATTGTGCAAAGTACAGATGCATTTATCAAGGAAAACTGTCACTCCTGATAATTGTCCTGCAGCCTCTGGGTGCTCAGTGATGATCAGCCAACGAATGACTGGCTTTGTCAGCATTGACATCACCAGAACACTCTGGAAATACTCAAGCTGCCTCAAAGGTTCAGTCTTTCCTCTGTTTTGCTCTATGACCTTTGGAAAGAAAATCAGCCAAAGAAAATGACTCTGCTGGAGTGGGGGAGGGGTGATTCCCGCTTGCCAGGAAATTCAGTCTGCCCTAGTGAGGGGGAAAACAAGGACTTCTACGATCCGGCTCCTGCTTCCCTAGCCTTTTCTGTGACTGCTCTCACCTTGGATCTGTTCTTGTGTTGAGTTAATCACAGCCCCCTGAAAAAATGATGATTTCCTTTTATCACTCCATCCATTTGGAATGTCCTATTTCCCTGTTTCTCTCAACCTGGGGAATGAATACTTTTTTTAAAGTTAAATAAACGTTCTGTTCGAGTGGTACTTCTTCCATAAAACTTTTCTTCATACCCTGTGCCTCTGACCATCCACATACACACAGAGCCTCTCACCCCTTGGGAACCCCTCTTGTGTTCTTTGGATGTCTTTCCAAGCGAGAGCACTTCACTGCATTGATTTGTCTTCTACTTCTGTCTTCTACTTGTCTTCTACTTCTGAGGG